AAATGATGAATGAGAGGGATGGCGATACGGATGACGGTGCTGATCTGCTCCGTTAAGTGAAGATTACTTCCAATCACGTCGGGGTCACCACTTTAGGGAACAGAGAGTATAGTTCCCTAAGATCGGAAAAGGAGGATCCTCCGACCAGGCGAGGTGATCGTGCCTGGCGGGCTTTCTGCCCAACAGTTGTTCGTTGGGATTTTCTATCCGTGTTAAATCCAATGTAAACTTCGCATGTGCGATGTAGGATTTTTATGACGTCATCCGTTAGAATGTACCATGTGTCGCCACATACTCATTACCTATAATGATGTACTAAATTGATCAAAGACGTTAAAATTGACCCAATTCTTCAATATTTCCTATAGGTAGGATACTTAGGTTTTGTAATTATACTATCTGATAGATGATTCGTTAACGTTATTTTTCCATTTTTGGACTAAATAATCAATACTTCATAGTTATTCAGATATACTTTTTTTTGTTGTAAATATTATTCTTCTTGAATATCATAATTATATTCTTCCCTCATTCCCTAAAACAAAATTCTATCAAGAATTATCACACTAATATTACTAATATGTGTGTGTGTGTGTCTTTGTTTGAAGGTTTGTCCATCAATCACGCTGAAACTGCTGAACGGAGAACGGAAAATGTTTGGTATATAGACTTAGGTATTAGAAATTTTTATTCCGATTAAATGCTCCCAGATAAAACAGGACTCATTTTCTACGCAGACGAAGTCGCGGGTAACAGCTAGTTATCATATAAGACAGTGACTTAATTTTCTGAGTCCCTCTCTTTCTCTTAAATGATTCCATGGTAATGGTTTGGAAAACTCATAAAGAACCAAAAAGGGACTTTTCACCGATTGATCATTGAATATGAAAATTATACAAATAAAAAAGAACAGTAAGTTTCTTTCATTCATTCATTAAGTACCTATTTACATTTTCATAAATAATTAATGAAGAAAATTATCACCGGTCACTAGGTAAAAACTAGTTAAAAACCGTCCCAAAGCCTTGTTGTGCTTAGTTATTACCAATCTACCATCCATTTCCGGTTTATTTTTTGCTCAGCTGTTCAATTAAAACCATACTTGGTAGATTTCGCGTTACATAGCTCTGGCTACACTCAATTACTGTGGCTGTCTGGTTGTCAAACAAAGAGAAAATATATATTTTTTCCTTTAAATCTATTGTATTTTGTGCTGTCTGATAGTTTTACACGTTAAGGTGTGTATTTTTATTAACGCTATACACATGCGTTGGTGGTGTGTTGTTGATTGACGCCATAATCGTGTGACAACTTTCACAGATCGCATAATCAACCAGGCAAACTGGATTGAAGAAAATGATGGATTCGGACTCGTCCGGCGCGGACTTCTGCCGGTTCTGTCGTTCGGAGGCTTCGTCTGACAGACCGCTATTCCACCCGTGTATCTGCACAGGCTCCATAAAATGGATACATCAAGAATGTTTAGTGCAGTGGATGCGATACTCCAGGAAAGAGATTTGCGAGCTTTGTGGCCACCGATTTTCTTTTATGCCGATATATTCGCCGGACATGCCTCGCAGGCTACCTATACGCGACGTGGTGGGCGGGCTGGTGACTTCCGTGGCGTCCGCCGTGAAGGACTGGCTGCACTACACGCTAGTAGCGCTCGCTTGGCTTGGCATCGTGCCGCTCACCGCCTGCAGGACCTACCGCTGTCTGTTCTCGGGCTCCTTGGACCCAGTCATTTCATTGCCCTTTGACATAGTATCTGCTGAAAGCCTTGCTAAAGATGTCTTCTCTGGATGTTTTGTTGTAACATGTACACTGTTCTCTTTTATTGGCCTTGTTTGGCTGAGAGAGCAGATCATGCATGGTGGTGGTCCAGACTGGATGGAAAGAGAGAACCTGCCAGCTCCACCCCCTGAAGACCTTCCTCTGCAAGACAATAACAATGACAGAGTGAATAATGGAGCAGGGGATGGTGAAGTTGGTATAAGAGATGAAGTTAATGCTGAAGTTGGAGAGGATCCCTTGGGTGCAGATGAAGCAAACTGGAACCCAATGGAATGGGATCGTGCAGCTGCTGAGGAGCTAACTTGGGCTCGTTTGCTTGGCTTGGATGGTTCCATGGTGTTTTTAGAACATGTATTTTGGGTGGTGTCTCTGAATACATTGTTTATAGTGGTGTTTGCATTCTGCCCGTATCATATTGGAAGGTTGGGAGCTGCTATGGCAGGGCTGACAGCTGAGGGTCCATTTGCTGGGCCATTGACAGCTCTAGCAGGGTATGTGTTGGTGGGGGCTATACTGGCAGTGTTACATGGCATGGCGTCCCTGCTGCGCCTGCGGAGTGCTAAGAAGGCACTGGGATTCTGTTATGTAGTTGTGAAGGTGGCCCTGCTGTCTGTTGTTGAGGTGAGTACATTGTTTTACATATTTATATATTGCTCATTACTTACCTGAATGATTTCCATGTCAAGCTGCAATCCAATGATTTATGCAAAACTTTGTATGTAGATCAATGGCAAAAATTCTATAATATTATTAAAAGCAGATAATCTTGTACATACATCAGCAAAGAAAACTAGTTTCACAACTTGTATGTGTTTACATAATTTTTAGCTCATTTGCCTGACACAAGTAGACACTTTTTAAAATATTTCCTTATCTAATAATCATATTTTCGGCTTACTCATGTAATGTGTTTGATGAGGAACTCGACTAGTTTCAAGCCATGTTTATGGGCAGCATTCCACGAAAACATAATAATTAATTTAGTATGTCTCACAAAAGTTTTAATAATTCCTGATCTGTTATGAGTGCATGTGTACTTATCTGATATGAACTTGAGGGCAGTAGTAATCAGTCATTACCCTTTTTATAAGACAGTTATATCTTTAGATATGAGTGAAATTAAAAATCATGATCATGTTTGTGATACAATAGTGATGAAAGTAATTTATTGGGTATAGGTATATAAGATGTAATCATATTTCAAAATGGTATAGGTTTTTCCACTGTGTTTGTTGGTTGGTAATACTTTTATGACTAAACAGCTGAATCAAATTGGATGAATTTTGAGACAGAGATAGATGGAGCAATGGAAATGGTGTCAGGCTACTTAGTTAGGAAAATTGTTCAGCTAAGTTACAAAAAAACATGAGAAATGTTTATAATATTTTTTGAAGTTACAATGCTACAAAATACTTTTCTAATTGGAAAATTTTTGTTATGACTGATGAGCTATTTATGCTTATTATCTTAAACTTATGATCATTTCACATTACATTCATTATCATAACACCTGCCTCCCATATTGGGGTAGACAGAGATAGTGGAATTGTTACTAACCAGATAATTTAAATAAATTCCTTTAGTCTTACTTAATTTAACCCATAAATCCCCAAGCGGTCACCGGTGACCGCTTTCCACTAATATTACATTACATTATAGACCTTATTTGTAATGTTTAGAGACTACTTTTGTATGACCAAATTTAGGGGATGGATTTCAACGGGTTAAGACTCCATTAACCAATTAGAATTATGATAAAAACAAAAGAATTAAAATCTAATATTTTAAGCAGTTATGGTAATTAACTTGGCTGTCTTAAATAAATGTTTATTCAGTAGACAGTTGTTGTGAGTAATAAAATAATGAATATTTAT